CCCTTTAACTGTCACCCGTCCCCTCTGTGGGACGCCTAAGTTTACTTCACTATATTACAATTAAATCCTAATCTAATCATGACAAACTATGTATCGTTGGAAAGGTCTAAGACTCCTAGATAGATATTTTACCAATGTTTTTGTTAAAAATTATGTAGGAAAAGTAATAGATTAATTTATGACAAGAGTGCACCTCAAAAATCTACATCGTAACATGAGTTCTGACCTTTGTCAAAAAAAGTTTTCTTTGTTGCCTTTTTCTCTATCATACTTTAGAAATCATCAGAAATTATATATCAATTGAAAGCTTTAAATCTCTAAATTCATCCCTTGAAACCCATTTTAAAATCAAACATTACATTACCATGAAAATGGTACATCAATATCATGTTACAAAATGTTTTCGTTCATGAATTATAAAAATGTAAGTTTGGATGTGCCCTTTCACGGCTGTGGTAAAATTTGAGGGACAGGTAAAGGGTTAATAGTTCAAGTCTAAGATTTTATTAAATGTTTAAATATAATTTTAAATAAGACATATAGCGTCTAAAAATTTTTTTGTAAAATTACATCTAATTATTGTTTTTGTGCACATTCTTGAAACAATACTAGTGATTATTGAGATACTATTAAATTTTTTATTAATATTTTCAACTAGTTTTTGTATTGTCTATTTTAATTTTAATTTTAGTTAAAATTTTAGTAATTTTGTTGCATTTTTTAAAATATGTCTGTAGGTTTTATCATTTTTAATTTCAGTTTTTGTTTTAGTTATTTTAGTACATCAAGTTAAACTAGATATAAATGAGAAATAAAATAAAAATAATGAAATAAATCAAATTTTTTTAATATTTCATTTTATTTCAGTTAATGTTTACTTTATTTCAAGTAACGAAAATGTTTTTATGGTTTTAACTTTAGTTGTTTTCACATGTTTAGTGACTTGTGAGTAACTAAAAACTAAAAATGTGTATATAACATTCATTTATATTGTTAAAAACATGCAATATATATATATATATATATATATATTTTTGTTTTTTTTTTATTTAACTTTCAAAATTCAACAGCAAGTTCTTCACATATTTCTCAAATTTACACATTTTGTAAGTACAAATTGAGACAATTTTAATAAAAAGAAAAAAAACATGCATTATATTGGCCATTCTGCGCTCTAAATGTCGGCCATATTGGTTGAGCATTACGTAAAGTTGAGTACTATTTAAAGTCATCATTACAGAAAGTTTATCGAATGCATGTTGGTCTGATTTCTGCAGGCCGCGCAGCTACACGTGTGCGCTCTCCAACAGCAACAGGTGTCTGTGTGGGTGTGACAGAGAAAGTTGTTGGCCCTTTAAAACTTTTAAACGTCCTTCCCCCGTCTCCTCTCTGCTCCCAAAACTCCCAACAAAAGATCCGCTTTTCAGTTGTGCGGTTCCCCCCCAACCCCCCTGTTACCACGGCGACTGCGCTCTCAAGCAGGTCTCCGAAACGGCTCACTATGGAGACAAACCCCCGTCCCATACGAAGCTTTTGTCTTTCTCTCCCTCCCCCCTCCGCTCTCGGCTTTTCCGCTCCTCGCGTCTCACAACTGGCTGGAAGGAGCTTCCCAGCTGAGACGACCTAAACCTATTACTCAAACCTGTTACATTTAAATAATTGCAGTGCTGCAATTACAGATTGAAATGAAAAGTGCTTGACAAGCACAAGTCTTCAGATGGTGGATCTGCTCTGAAATGGCTTGCTCTAAAGTTCAAGTCTCATTAAAGTTTGAATGAATGCTCTGTTTATGGCTGGTTTGGTCTGTCTGCTGCTCCTCGTTCTGCACCCCCATCCACCCAGAGGTCACTCGACTCCAACTCAACTTCATTTCGGAGAACTTCAACTCCTACTTTGCATACTTTCATAACGTTGCACTGAACTTTTCTGCAGAACCATCACAGGTTTGCAGAAACATGATCTGCAGGTTAATTCTCAGAAACAAACCCATGTAGATGAGCCTAAAAGTACTAGAGTTGGTAGTAGTCATTTTTGGAAATTTGGTATTATTTTTGGGATAATATCAAATTGTAAGTTTTAGTTCCCAGTTTTTTAAATTCCAAAATATACAAATGCTCTGTGTTCAGTATTTCAAGCAATTTTTTAGTAAAATAAATGTTTTAGTTTCATAGCTTTGGCACATTGTTCTTTTTTTGCAGAACCATCATCTCACAGGCTTGCAGAAACGTTCAGGATTCGCCCGCAGGTGAATTCTCAGAAACTGAATTTGTTTAGATTGTCCTGAAAGTACAGAAGAGTTGGTTCTTCGGCAATTTTAGATTATATTTGGGCAGATATTAAATGATAAATGTTAGTTCCCACTTTGTGCTTAATATTTTAAACACATTTTTAGTAAAATACGTGTTTTTGCATAGTTTCGTAGCATTTGCACTGTACTTTTTTTTTTGCAAAACCATCAACTCTCATAGATTTAGAGAAACATTCAGGTTTCGTTTACTAGGAAACAAACCCATATAGATGATCCTAAAAGTCCAGAAAATTTTTGGGGCAATTTTAGATTACTTTTGTACCAATATTGAATTCAGAAAACATTTTCTATGTTTAATATTGAAAGTAAATTTGACTAAAACCAATGTTTTGTGTCTAGCTGTTCATTTGCTTGCAACCATTGTATACTATGTATATATTACATAAATCACTGCTGTATCTTCCAGAATATTCACCTTCGCTGCCGATTGGGTCTGTGTTGACTGATGGCTGTGCCGTCCAATCGCCTCTCAGCTCGTAGCGAAACGCAGCGATGCGTCTGCTGATGTCCTGGTGAGGTGTCGCTTGCATGAAGAGCGCCGGTCGTTCTCCAGGCATGGCACTGAAGCAGCGCACACGGGCCGGGCTGGAGGTCTCGTCTCCCACCAGAAGCTCCAGGACTCCGTCCCGCTCCAGGTAGAGCTGAGCCCCGCCCCAGTGCTGATCCGGCTTGATGCAGGCCGACACCGGGCTCCTGCTGGACTCGCCGGGACCCATGGCGCTCCACGGCAGTCGGGGCGACAGGGTGAGACGCAGTGCTCCAGCGGGGTACAGCCACTCCACAGAGCCCTCCGCACACCTCAACCAAACCTGCTCCACGTTCTTCACCGCCTGAGAGAGACCACTGCACAGATGGAAACCAGAAGAGCTTAATCAGAGAAATCTGAGCAGGCCAAACCTCAGTCAGTTGATCCACATTAAATGAGGTGCAAGCATTCTCCTGTTCTGCTTTCTCAAAACTTAAGTCTTGAGTCATTTGACCCGTGCATAAAGTTGCAGGAAAAGTTTAACGCCCCCTACTGTTTACTGGTTACTGGTTACTTTAACTGCAGCCATTGAAACTTTCTGCACTAGTGGAAACATCCTTAAACATCCATTAGTATTGCAACCCTCATATCACACCTTTTTATTCCATTATAATTATATTTTCTTTATACTTTACAAACGAAGTGCTTAATTAACCTTTTTTTTGTTGCGTAAACTATTCAAATTACACCATGACTAAAAATATTCACGATAGATAGATATGCAATGCAATTCATGCACATATGTAAGAGATAATCACTGAATATTTTACCTATGTTTACTATAATTAATTGCACACATTTTGCACACTTTTAATTGCACAGAAATCACACCAGATAGCAGAAAAATCGGTGCATTCCAGGACAAAACGTAAACATAATACGCAATATAGTTCAAAATCAACAGATATAAAGCCTGTAACTCTGCATGTTGGTAATATTCACCTTCCCCTCCAGCTGCACTGGTCTTCTGAGTAACTGGTCATCGTGAAACCCGTCAGGAATGAAATCCAAAGCGCAAAATTCCTGAAGTCCGAAACCTCCATCACCGCGCAGAGACACTGCGGTTCTCCAGAGGTGCGTGCGTAAAGTCCTTCTCTTCGCTGCTTGTCCAAATCTATAATTAAACCAAACGAAAACCTACTGATTCCATACTGTCCTCTGATCTGTCTAAACTAAACGTTCCCTCTCTTTCTGTAGATCAGTCTGTGTGTCTGGAGCAGAGAGCTTCTGACTGACTGAGTTCCAGCGCAAGAGTTTCAGAACTGGACTAAACTTTAAACCCCGCCCACAGCAGGAGGCGTGGCTTCGCCACATTTAAAGTCCAATGAATGGCATCTCCTTTATTCACACTGGGTGAAGGCAAACGACAGAAGAATGTTTAATCAGCCTGAATGTATGTGAAGGATTTTGAAACATAACACGTTGCTTGTTGGCAATAGCGTCTGAATCATTTTAGCGAATCAAATGGTTCAGTGAACCGATTAAATGATTCACCGAATTCTGGCATTTAGCGCTACATTTTTGTAGCCAAAATCGCTGTTTATTTCTGTGTTTTCAAATTAGGTTATATAAATTGCGTTGAATTTGTGTTGTTTATTGTTAAAAAAAATAAAAACAACACAAATTAACTGTAGTGTTTTCCAAATATGATTAATATTCTTAATCCAGAAAGTTAATGGTTACTACTAACAACATTGTTCTAAACTCACAGTGTTGTTTACTGCTAAAAATAAATAAATTAATTAATTAATAAAAATAAGCCACTGATTTACAAAGGAATGCCAATCGGTTCTAAAAGAATCATTTCATAGAGTCGGTTCAGAAGAACGTTCGAATTCGTTGTTGAATCGATTCATTTTTGCCGCTCCAGTTTTCAGAGAGAAATGCGAGAAAGTCGTTTAAATAAAAAACATGTTTCGGTTAGCTTAATTAACATGGTTAAAGGGTTTTAAATTACCATGCAGTCAAAAGTTACATTTGAATCCAATCAATCTTAATTATGCATTGTAATCCAATTAAGATGGCTAATGATTAATTTATGTTTGTGATAGAATATTTGTCTAAAACCAAGGGACAAAGTGCTTGATAATTAAATAGTAGGCTGCAAGAAGTGGTCAAAGCTGAAGTTCAAATCAAGTTGAGAAGAAATAGGATGAAATCATATAAATGCATGATAAATCCACTCCAATGCTATGTTATTAAACTTATGGAGAGATGCAAAGACCAGGGGGATGGGTGTGGTGGTTGGGGGTAAATGGAGCTCTCTGCAGGACGTCCTGCCCTACGTTCAGCCCATGCTGAGGGACTCTTTCATCTCACTGCATTATAAGCTAATCAAATATTCTTTTGTATCACCACTGCAATCTATCTTTATGGATAGTGTGCATGTGTGCGTACGTGAGCGTGTGCCTTTGATCTGGTTATGACAGGACCTTTGACATATTCAAAGCCTGATGTCCAGTAGCCCTGCCGAGATGTGTGTGTTTTGTGTTCCCTGCTGATCTGCTGTGTATAAAGTGAGGCTTTTGTTCTCTGGTGGCCACTTCAAACAATAGACACATGAAAGCATGTATGTGCGTGTACATGTGATTGTGCATGGTTAGTGTTGCAGTGTTGCATAGCAAGAGAATTTACTTTCTGAGACTTGAATTGAGTCTTTTTCCAATATTTGCACACCAAAACCATAAAACTTTTGTAAATGAAGAAATATGGTGAAGCTAAGTTTGGATTGTCAGTGTAATGTATAGTGAAGTACAGCTTAAGATCCTATTTGGATTGATGTTGATGCATTACACAGCCCCAAGTCTTCAAATAAAAATGTCTGTTGATTTGCAAAAAATACTTAAGATTATCTAATTTGATGATGCTGAGTTAAAAAATATAAATAAAAACATTCTATCATGTATGTTTTTCACAAAATAAGAATAAAGATTTTTTTAAAATTATATCAGCTTTAATGCACTCGTCAAAATAACAAAAGCAGCCTAATGTCAAATGTTTTAATGACAGAAAGAGGTATTCAAAATTAACATTTACATTTGAGTGGAAATTAGGATTAGGCACAATAATAATGTCTTCAGAATCATTCGTATATGTAAAAACAATAAATAAATAAATCACCTGAGAAAGGAAAAAAGTCTGAATTGTGAAATAAAAAGTAGCCATTTTAATTTTAAATTTAAATTTAAATTTTATTTAATTCCATGGCAGAAACAAAAAAGAAAATGGAATTGCAAGACAAAAGTCATTATTCTGAGTTTATATCTTGCAATTCTTACTTTTTTTCTCAGAATGTCAAGAAACCAAGTCCGAACTGTGAAATATAAACACAGAATTGCAAGGAAGAGTCAGAATTATGAAAAAAAAAATTTATTAACAGTCTTGCATTAAAGATTAATTATGCCTCTGCTGCAGTTTTCCTGCTGATTAAAGGATAATACAAGATTTCTTTACCTTAAAAATGGTTGTGGAAGCAAAAAATGCTATGAAATGCATCATATTTTGTGGAAAAGTGACATGCTCAAGTCATTTTTTTGAATCAGCAAAAGCAAGTATTGGATTTCATTCAGCAAATATGATGTAGGACAGTGTTATATATTTCTATAACCATTCATTTAATCAATCAACAGTTTAGCTTTGCTTCAACTTTATTTCAGCTCTGAATGACCGTTTTGCTTCAGCAGTTCTCCTGCGATCCATGAAGTGGTTGGTCAGTGTTTCCCCCCTCATACAAGCATGTTCCTCAAGTCCGATTTTAGGTTTCTGTGTGTGTTTGGGGGTGGGATAGTGATGGTCTCCTCAGATCTTGATCCAGCTGTGTTTGCTGTCTTTCCTCTCGACACACACACACACACACACACACACTCACATGAGAGAGAGCAATGAGAACAACAGTGTCATTTTTCACAGCTCTCTCATAGGGGTTTGCCGGCAAATACAGCATTGTGTGTGTTTCCTCAATGAAGGCACTACTTACGCTGTTATAATGGAAAGATTAAAGGATACGGAGGGACAGTGAGATTAGAAGAAGGGTCACTCAGTAGAAAGGGCAGAAAGATTGTGTTTATAGCTTCACTTCTATTGTGTGTAAAGTTACAAAGGATTCAACTCAAGTTCGTCTAGCCTGTGTTCTTTTACATTTTTGATTCATTTGTTGAAAACCATGAGGGTATAATATTTACATTATGTGATGCGTTTTGGCTTATGGTTAATTTTATTACTGTGCAGAGTGGATAAATAGTATACTGTATGTATTATGGGTTAAGGGTCAATAAGATTTTTTAATGTTTTTGAAAGTAGAGGTATCAAGGCTACATTTATTTGATCAAAAATACAGTAAAGACAGTGAAATATTATTACAGTTTACAATAACTGTTTTCTATCGGAATGTATTTTACAATATAATTTTTCCCTGTGATCAAAGCTGAATTTTTATCATCATACTCCAGTCTTCAGTGTCACATGATCTTCAGAAATCATTCTAATATGCTGATTTGCTGCTCAAGACACATCTCTTATTATTATCAATGTAGAAAACAGTTGTGCTGCTACATATTTTTGTGGAAACTGTGATACATTTTCTTTATCAGGATTCTTTGATTAATAAAAAGTTCAAAAGAACAGCATTTATTTGAAATAGAAGTCTTCTGTAACATTGTAAATGTTTTTATTGTCACTTTTGTTCAATTTAATGCATCCTTTTTATTTATCTTACAGTATTTTTTTCATACACACAGGTTTTCCTTCAGTTTAATTGCGTGTCTCATCATTCTCTCTCTCTTTCTCTAAAGCCGTATTTCTGCATCTCATCAGTTTAAGTGTGTCCACCCATCCTCCCATCCTCTCTCGCTCCCCCTCCTGCATTCACTCATTTTCTTCTTCATTGACTCAAGACGGATATCTCTCTGCGTCTCGACTCCTCTCTCTCTCATTGTGTGTCGGTTTGCATTAAGCGTGATTAGCTCACACCCTTTCGCATACGCGCTCACACAGCCGTATTCACGGACAATGAACGCATGCCAGTGCAGGTTGACCCCTGAGAGCCTCCTCTCCTCCCCCTGCCATCAGCATCGCTGTCTGAAATATCTTCAGTCCTTTCAGACCAAAGTCAGTCAGGATTCTTTAAACAGGCCGCATCAGCATGATAGCACAAATGAGGGCTTTTCAATATCTTAGTTGTTTCTCCTAGACACATTTTTGCATAAGTGTCCTGCATGGTCCTGCTGAGAGAAAGACTCACATGCATCTCATTTAGAGTTTCAGAAGAGATTTCAATGATATGCTTCGATTTTCCAAGATAGCTAAAATGCAGAGATCTCCGTATCTCTATACTCTTACTGTATGCTTGAATACTAACTCGTTGTGTCTGTTTTTATGTCTCCTTAGGATTTTTGGGGGAAACATCTGATACTTCAATGAAATGAGAACATCATTGAGTCTCCTGAGCTATGGGAGTGCAACTTTCCCCATGTAATGCAGTTTTGAAATGACTAAAATATACCATTATTAATACCATTATTTTAAATTTTCGTTCATATTTTAATAATTTTGTTGTTTTTGTCATTTTTATTATATTTTATATGTACATAGTTTTTTTAAATTAATTTTATTTCAGTTGTAGTTATTTTAGTGCATCAAGTTAAAATAAATGAAAAATCTATATTTTGCTTTGGCGACTATCTTAAATAAAATTATAGCATTCTTTTTTTCATATACATTTTATTTTATTTTATTTCTGGTAACAATTTTAGTTTTTTAATGGTTCTAGTCTAACTATAATAACCCTAGTTGTAAATCCAGTAGGAGATTTATTACATTTTAGCTTTTTAACCCAGTAAACATTCTCATGCGTTTTGAAAGTGTAGTATGATGCATTAAAATTTTTGTCCATTAATAATGCATCATGCATGTGAGAGTTTTATCAGCTATTATTAAGACCTGTCATTGCAAGGACTTCCTAGTAAGTTGGTGGTCTTTTCACACAAGCAAAGCAGGAATAGACCATAGGGTGTTGCATAAGCTGTAAAGGACCTATGTGAAAGCAGTAATCATGTCTTTATTGAATAGGACACTCTAATTAGTGGTTTTCACTAAGAAAAGCGTTAGTATATATCAAAGCTCTAGTATTCTAAAGTTGAGTCTGTGTCGTCTTGCAGTGTTTGTGAATGATTCCTTAAAGGGATAGTTCACCCAAAAATGAAAATTTTATGTTTATCTGCTTACCCCCAGGGCATCCAAGATGTAGGTGACTTTGTTTCGTCAGTAGAACACAAACGGAGATTTTTAACTCAAACCGTTGCAGTCTGTCAGTCATATAATGTAAGTGGATGGGAATCACGGCTTTGAG